ATGTAGTTCTGCAGCAAATAAGCCAGTTGAACTCCTACCATGTAAGTTAATAGCATGTAGTGAATGCTCACTTGATCTAGCAAAGTCAGCAACATTTATCTGTCCTGGTTGTTCATTGGAGCTTCCATCAACTGAAGACACCTTCACTAAGCTCTCTAGTATAGCGGAGAGGATGTTTGCTGTCTTAACAGTGACATGTGAGCATTGCCAGTGCTGCGTAAATCTTAAAAACCTTGACGAGAAATGCAGCAAGCATATGAAATCACATCTGGAGGATGTTCTTGCCGTACAAAATGACAGGGCCCCAACCTAATTAAAGAAGAAGGTAGCACTAACTGTTGTATCTAAAATGGTAAAGCAAAATGAGAATGCCACTATTAAGCTATCAACAAAAAGAAGAGTAAGGTATACCCAATGCATGAATGTGGCTATTATTATATAGGCGGTAGCCTATAAGTAGGATTGAGGTTGGTTTTTCAAGATGGCGGCCGTTTTTATGATTTTCAAACACTTATAACTCTTCTATCTTACGTTGTACAGCCTTATAAATGGCTTAAATGAGATCTCATTCACTGAGCAATTCTCCTGGTACCTTTAAAGTGGACTGTTATGTAGCGGGAGCATATCTGGAGAATAGGCCCAAATTCAAATTTCTGCAAAATTCTTCGGAATTTTTCTTCTTCTTTCATCTTCTTCTATGCACCCGTTAATCTTTTAAGCCAGAGAAGCGCTTGAGTTGGCTTTTACATCATTCCTCAAGGCTTGGGTCAAGGACCACAAAGGTAGTTTCAAAAAGAAGCAAGGACAGAGAAGAAATGGCAGACAAAATCCAGCTGCAGACACCGCATGGGTTTGTGGTTTGATGCCATTTTAATTTATGCACATGTGATCAGCATGAATATAATTAACCTAACCACAGAATCATAACAGAATGTAATTTATTAATTTAAAAAAAAGAATGGAAACAAGTAAATAAAAAAACATTAAAAATGGAAAAGTAGTAGGATTGAATTGGAAAAAAGTAAAGAAACATGAGGGTACTTGCAAACTGGTGCGGTAAAAAATCCTACACCACTGCATGCAGAATATGATCCAAAGCCAAGGAATTATTCTACACAGACTGGCTGCTATGATAACACTTTGAAGACTTTATCTTTATGCATTGGTATATGATTTTTTACCACACCAGTTTGCAAGTTCCCTCATGTTTCTTTACTTTTTTCCAAATTCAATCCTACTACTTTTCCATTTTAAATGTTTTTTTATTTACTTGTTATCATAATAGCCAATTAGTCTAATGAAAGTGTAACAGTCAAAAGTACCATCGGGGGAAGCAGTCACACTAACGAGGAGAAGAAGCAATGAGTTATCAGCTATTCGAACCATGTTAAGTGTTGATGATGATGAGAAGCAGATAGTTGATGAAATGAATGTAAGACCAGCTTAAATGAGAAAGAAAATAGTAAAGGAATTAGATTTCACCATTAACGTACCAGCAGAACAGTGTTTGGCAATGAAATGTGAGCTTTGTCTTCCCTGCAGAACACTGAGGATCATGGACGGTAAGTGATATAGTATTGTCATGAAGTAATACATATACTATGTGGTTTAAGTCTTGGAATGTAGATGTTGCTAGTGAGCAGAAACAGAGAAAGTTGAAGAAACATAACCTTGTTGAAATGACAGTAAAATCTGAGGCTGTACCTTTTAGTTCACTACAAAACAAGGAGAAAGCATTTTGAAACCAGCCCCTGTAGCACGTATTACTGATTATTTTAGTTGGTGCCATTTTCCATTTACTTGATGAAAAAGCCAGGTTGGTTCTAAAAAATGATAGGTATCATTAATCATAGTACATTTAGATTAAACCAACTTACATGGCATGAAGGGCTGATCCCAGCAAATGAAATTTGGATCAAACTGGGTAGTGATAAAGGTTAGTTTTCAGTGAAGTTGTCTTTGCAGATAATGAACACAGACCACCCCCACTCTGTTAGAAACAGCTGTGTGTTCTCTGTTTTTGGGGCACCAGATAGTGTTTTTAACCTCCATCTGGCTTTGGACTCATATCAGGATAGCATCACATTTCTTCAGACTATCAAGTGGAAGTAGGCTATTGAACAAAAAATACATAACAATATATAATTATTCTTTAAACATTGATTATGATGTTAGAGTATTTATGTCTGGAGATTACAAGTTTTTATCCAATATGTATGGGATTTCAGGGGCAAGTGGTATGCTAATGTACATAAAGTTTTAATTATTATACTTACACATAGGAAGACATTGTTGTTTGTGGTGTAGCATCAGTTCTGATCAACTGAAAATTAGGAGAGAAGCACGAACAACAAACAACATTTACTCCTGGGTCACTACTAATATTACAAGACAAACAAAGATATTGTTGCTACTTGATGCAAATTAAAAAAAGCAAAACTTCACAACAATGTCATTGCCGAAGCTTTTTTTGATATTCCTTTGACACAAGTAATGATCCTTGAAATACGGTAATTAAGATTAAAAATACTTTTGCAATTACAGGTTTGACTACCTGGTCTGCATATAACACTGGGAATATTTCAGCGACTGTTCAACGTCCTCGAAGATGAGTGCCATTTGCTTGACTGTAGCGTTGCTGGAAGTTGCAAAAGTGCTACCAATTCATTCAGTATGTATCTACAAGCAAGATCTATGGTTAAATCACTTGAAGAACAGCAACTG